CGTTTATGATATTGATGATATGTTCTTGATGATTGCGGGATGATTTTATGTGTGATCTTGATGATCTTGATGATGATAAGAGGTTCTTGATGATTATGTGATGTTTTTGATGAATCTTGATGTTTTGATGATTAAAAGAAGAACTATGATTTTATTGATTTGAATATGATTAGAGCCCTAGGTTTAAATTGGGAATTTCGTATTGTGTTATTCTTGATATAATTGGGTGGGATTTCGCATGTTCGGGTGTTGATTATGTTTAGAAGTCATGATAGGATATGTGCTATGTGATTCTTGCTTTTGATCCATTAATTGTCTACGTGGTGTCGTCAATTGCGTTTAAAAGTGTCTAAGCATGATTTCGGGTTCTACAACGGATCCCGGGACGTTTATTTTGACAAAGAGTCAGTGGGGGTAGGGGGACCCGCCACCTACCCGCTGTCCGAAAAGGGCGTTGCCGGCAGCGGGCAGGCGACTGCCCGCTGGGCACCCGCTGCCTGGAGACTGGTCACCGGTGGGTGGCCTTCCACCCACCGGCTACCCGCTGGAAATTGTCCACTTCGGGACTCCGGCTTCCCCGTTTGATGTTTCCCCGACCCTCGTGGTGTCCCAACGGACTCCGTTTATCGTGCCTAAGTCTAGTCTGACGTTTCGGGTACCGTTCGTAGGGTAAATGAGTCTTATATATATCGCATGCTAGTTGAATTGACATCCCGTTGGACTAGGTGAAAGAAGTATGAACCCCTTAGGACTATTCCTAGTTTGTGGATGACCACGCATAGGTTTCTTTATACGTTTTCTCCCCTTTCCCAATGTGCTAATATGAGTTGCATGTGCTTGCTATGTGTTATGTGTGCATGATACCCCAATTTGGTTGTGATCAATTGGTTATTCCTGAGCTGCGGTTCAGAAGCTGGCTGCGGTCAGAATTACACTCTTGGGCTGCGGTCCACCGTTTGGTTGCGATCAAACGTTTTACATGAGCTGCGGTTCATATTCCTGGCTGCTGTCAGATGATCACTTTTGGGCTGCGGTCCTCCGTTTGGTTGCGATCAAACGTTTTACATGAGCTGCGGTTCATATTCCTGGCTGCGGTCAGATTATCACTCTTGGGCGGCGGTCCACTGTTTGGTTGCGATCAAACATTATGATGAGCTGCGGTTCATCGGTCGGTTGCGATCGACCCCTTCGTATTGCGATACTAGGCAGGGTGCTGCGGGGCCGTGTCAGAGTTATATGCGCTGACCCTCATGTATGGGCATGTGATTGGTCCTGTGGCACCACCAAAGTATGCTTGTGTGCTGAGATACGAATTGAATGGTGATAGGGAAAGGATGAAGCGAATATGTGACCAAAGGATATATGCTAGTATCTTTATATACTTGACTATAACTGTTGAATGTGCTTATCCCTATTTGTCGAGTCTATTCCGGTTTTGAAACTAGAGTTTCCTAGGATATAATCAAGTTGGACTAGGTGAAAGAAGTATGAACCCCTTAGGACTATTCCTAGTTTGTGGATGACCACGCATAGGTTTCTTTATACGTTTTCTCCCCTTTCCCAATGTGCTAATATGAGTTGCATGTGCTTGCTATGTGTTATGTGTGCATGATACCCCAATTTGGTTGTGATCAATTGGTTATTCCTGAGCTGCGGTTCAGAAGCTGGCTGCGGTCAGAATTACACTCTTGGGCTGCGGTCCACCGTTTGGTTGTGATCAAACGTTTTACATGAGCTGCGGTTCATATTCCTGGCTGCGGTCAGATGATCACTTTTGGGCTGCGATCCACCGTTTGGTTGTGATCAAACGTTTTACATGAGCTGCGGTTCATATTCCTGGCTGCGGTCAGATTATCACTCTTGGGCGGCGGTCCACTGTTTGGTTGCGATCAAACATTATGATGAGCTGCGGTTCATCGGTCGGTTGCGATCGACCCCTTCGTATTGCGATACGAGGCAGGGTGCTGCGGGGCTGTGTCAGAGTTATATGCGCTGACCCTCATGTATGGGCATGTGATTGGTCCTGTGGCGCCACCAAAGTATTCTTGTGTGCTGAGATACGAATTGAATGGTGATAGGGAAAGGATGAAGCGAATCTGTGACCATAGGATATATGCTAGTATCTTTATATACTTGATTATAACTGTTAAATGTGCTTATCCCTATTTGTCGAGTCTATTCCGGTTTTGAAACTAGAGTTTCCTAGGATATATCTTCCTGCTTCAAAATGACTTTTCTTATATATATATATATATATATATATATATATATATATATATATATATATATATATATATATATATATATATATATATATATATGCTTATATGGTATTTCAACGCGTTAGAGTGGGTTACCAGCATTATTCGCTGAATAGATATATTTGGCTTTCAGGCACAGACAATTAGCTCCGGAGCGCGCTAGAGGACCCAAGGCTTAGATAGATAGCTTCATATTCGGCCTATGTGCCATAATGATGTAATGATGTTGTTTAAGGATAATTAGATAGTTTAGCCTGTGCATCTGAGTTCTCCAGCTCAGATGTGGCATAACACCCCGTATTCTTATGTTTAGTATTGCTCTGTTTGGGATTTAATGAGAATTTACCTTTATTATATAAGTTTTATAAGTCTTGAAAATCTGGGGTGTTACAAATAACTTATGATGGTAAATGAAACCAGTTAACTTATTTATATAATTAGTCTAAATACATAGCTTTTAAGTGTTTGTCAACTTATCAATTTTAAAAAATCTAGGCTAAAATGCCATCCCGCACCATGAACCATTCCTGATTATTCATGTCGAACCATGATCTTTAATAAGTGATATTTAGAGCAATAAACTCTATTTTTTTTTCGTCTAGAACTTTTTACAGGTTACCGGTAATAATATTATTAATGGCTAAGCATGGCAACCTTTACTTACCAAATGTTAGTTTATTATTATTATTGTTGTTGCTGCTGCTGCTTTTATGCAAGTTATGTATTGAGTTTGTATGGATTATTGAATAGTGAATCACAAATGGTATTCTTTGATAAAATTTATACGTGATTATTAAATTATTAGTTAGCTAAAGACCATGTGGTCAAGCGGTATTACTATCAGGGACGGAGCCAGAGGGGTGGCAGGGAGGTCAGCTGCCCCCTCCCCCCCTCTCCCCACCCCCACCCCCACCCCATATTTAATCTGTATATGTATATATGTATATATAGTATATGTTCTAGTATTAGTATAAAAAAAAACAAGTAAATGTCAACAAGTAAGGAGTTAGATTAGTTGGTAGAGCATATCTATAGTAATTGGAAAGGTTTTGGGTTTGAAACTTTGCATTAGCATAGTTTAACTTTCCCCTATTTACTTTTTTAACACACACACACACACACACACACACACACACACACACACACACATATATATATATATATATATATATAGAGGCGGGTTCAGGTGCGGCAGTGTCTTACGGTGCGGTTATTTCTTACGGTGCGGCAACACCAATAGTTCACCAAATATGCACCATCAATGTTAGGAAATACACCACACAAAACAGAGTAAACAGAGCCCTGCATCACCAAACACACACCATTAGGTGTGAGTAAAAACACCATACACTGTTCGGAAATACACCATTGGGGGTGGTGAGTTATATGGTGTGTTTTTTTGAGTCTGTGGTGTATTTTGTGATGTTTTATTACATTTCATTGGGGTGTGTTTTTATTACACTGTTGGTGCATATTGTTAACACTGTTGGTGTATTCTGGAATTTGACCGCACCGCCGCACCGCCGCACCGTAAGACCCCGCCGCATATGAGCGCTCTTCTATATATATATATATATATATATATATATATATATATATATATATATATATATATATATATATATATATATATATATATATATATATATATATATATATATATCATTATTTTATATTAATAGTGATATGTATAATTTATAATGTGTTTTCTATTCAAATTATTTTATTAAATTACAAATATATGTCTTAAGTAATGGTTATAAATAAAAAAAAATCTTAGGTAATTTATTTATTTTTTTTAAATTATATATTTTGTTTTAATGTTTCGCTTTTATTGGAAAAAATTTCTGAATCCGTCCTATTTCTTCGCCCCTCTCAATCAAATTTCTAGCTCCGTCCCTGATTACGGTAACTCATAAGTTCTTATTTTAATGGGGTTACTAACTCTTTTCGTGCTTCAATAGGTTGAGAAAGTACTCAAAAAAAATAGTTATGGGGATTATACAATGTATTATTAGTTTTTATTGGTTTTTTTAGGTATTTTTTTTCTTTCGCCTTCGTATTATTATTTATTTAGTATTTTTCTTTTTTCCTAAACGTATAGGCCTGCTCTGCATTTTTCGCTTCTCGTTTCTCCGATACCAAACTTCGCAGAGCAGGCCTGACAGAAGAAATGAGAAGCGAAAAACGCAGAGCAAGCTTATACGTTTAGGAAAAAAAGAAAAATACGAAGAAAAAAAATAATACGAAAGCAAAAGAAGAAAAATACATAAAAATTTCATGTCAGCAATATTATTACCGGTAACATGTGGGAAACCTGTAAAAAATTTTAGACGAAAAAAAAAATTATGATTTATGGCTCTAAATATCATTTATTAAAGATCATGGTACGACATGAATAATCAGGAATGGTTCATAGTGCGGGATAACACTATACCCAAAAATCTATTCAATTTGATCTCTTATAGATTTTTACACTCTTTTAACCGGGACCATCAAGGCCATCTCCAACCCATTACACCAAATTCTACACCAAATTCTACACCAAAAGGAATATTCTCAGAATATTCTTACACCAAATTTTATTCATCTCCAACCCATTACACCAAATTTATTTCTACACAAAAATAATTTGTTTTCTCATAAATTATAACTTTTATTTTTTACTTTAATTTTTAATATGAAATTTAATTGTAATGCAAATAATATTTTTATTTCACAATAATATAACATATAACAACTATTACATTTAATTTTCAGAATTACCATATAGTTGCCACAAATGCTCAATCAATGCATTACGAAGTGCATAATGCGCTTCTCTATCTTTTATTTGTCTATGTCGAGCAAGAAATTCTTGAAATAGAGTAGCTTCATCTCTACGTATATCAACTTCAATAGCCGGCGCTTCTCTCCACCTTTGTATATCCGCTTGCTCATCACGTTCATCTTCAATTATCATATTGTGCATTATGATGCAAGATGTCATTATATCATGTAATACACGTTTATCCCAAAAACGTGCCGGTCCCTTGACTATTGCAAATCGTGACTGGAGGACCCCAAATGCGCGTTCGACATCTTTTCTACATGCTTCTTGCATCGTTGCAAATAACTTTTTCTTTAGCCCTCGAGGTTCATGAATGGTTTGTACCAAGGTTGACCATTTTGGGTATATACCATCAGCTAAATAATATCCCGTATGGTACTGTTCTCCTTGAATAACATAATGAGCTGGGGGTGCTATACCATTTGCAAGGTTTGCAAACAAATGAGACGCCTCCAACACATTAATGTCATTATTTGACCCTGGCAAACCAAAATGTGCATGCCATATCCACAAATCATAATCAGCTACAGCCTCAAGAATAATAGTTGGTTCTCGACTACGCCCAGAATATTGTCCAGCCCAAGCTGTTGGACAATTTTTCCAAGTCCAGTGCATACAATCTAAACTCCCAAGCATCCCTGGAAAACCACGACTCTCGCCAATTTGAAGCAACCTTGCAACGTCATTAGCATCAGGTGCTCTTAGATAGCGCTCCCCGAAGATCTCTACAATTGCTCGGCAGAATCTCTTCACACTTTCAATTGCAGTTGATTCTCCAATTTGAATGTATTCATCCGTTGCATCCGCTGGTACTCCATAAGCCAAAATTCGAAAGGCTGCTGTTACTTTTTGTAAAGTAGACAAGCCTAGCCTTCCAATTCTATCTCTCCGTTGCACAAAGTAGTTGTCATGATCTTTAACGGCGTTGGCAATTCGTAAAAACAAATTTCGACTCATTCGAAATCGTCTACGAAACATTGTTTCATTATATTTTGGATTTTCTGAAAAATAATCAGCCCATAACCTTCTATCACCATCGACACGATCACGATGAATCACTCTATGGCCAGGAACCGAACCACCGTGCCTTGAGTTGCTAGCTTGATTTGCCATCGTTTCCATATAGTAAGCCATGACAGCGTTGTTGTTAGCATATACATTTAGTAATGCTTGCTCTTGTGATTGTATTATAGTATTGAGATCAAGATCATCCTCTGATTGTTGGGATAAGAGTGAGGGTGAAGGTGAAGGTGAGGATGAAGATGAGGATGAAGAAGAAAATGGAATAGGGCGTTTACCATTGTTGGAATTCATAATTGAATATTGATATGATGAAGAGATGAATGATAACTTTGGATGTGATGTACTAGTTTTTATAATAAGATATGAAATCTTATCACAACCTTTATCAGAAGTGTTTTCAACCGTTGGATTAAATCTCAACAATCTTAACCATTCATTGGTATGCAAATCATTCCAACACGGAATCCAACAAAAGATATGAAATCTTATCACAACCTTTATCAGAAGTGTTTTCAACCGTTGGATTAAATCTCAACAATCTTAACCATTCATTGGTATGCAAATCATTCCAACACGGAATCCAACAAAAGATATGAAATCTTATCACAACCTTTATCAGAAGTGTTTTCAACCGTTGGATTAAATCTCAACAATCTTAACCATTCATTGGTATGCAAATCATTCCAACACGGAATCCAACAAAAGATATGAAATCTTATCACAACCTTTATCAGAAGTGTTTTCAACGGTTGGATTAAATCTCAACAATCTTAACCATTCATTGGTATGCAAATCTTTCCAACACGGAATCCAACAAAAGATATGAAATCTTATCACAACCTTTATCAGAAGTGTTTTCAACCGTTGGATTAAATCTCAACAATCTTAACCATTCATTGGTATGCAAATCTTTCCAACACGGAATCCAACAAAAGATATGAAATCTTATCACAACCTTTATCAGAAGTGTTTTCAACCGTTGGATTAAATCTCAACAATCTTAACCATTCATTGGTATGCAAATCTTTCCAACACGGAATCCAACAAAAGATATGAAATCTTATCACAACCTTTATCAGAAGTGTTTTCAACCGTTGGATTAAATCTCAACAATCTTAACCATTCATTGGTATGCAAATCTTTCCAACACGGAATCCAACAAAAGATATGAAATCTTATCACAAACTTTATCAGAAGTGTTTTCAACTATAAATACTACAACTTGGATTGCCAAAGTAAAACCACCACTCTCTGGATTCTTAAACCTCCTCTCAAACACTCCTCCATTCTCTTTGCAAAATGTCGAGCTCACGCACAACCCGAACTGCTTCATACTCAATCGAGGAAGATCAACTTCTATGTCGTGTGTATTGTGATATTACCCAAGATCCTGAAGTTGGTAAGAATCAGGCACAACAAGCTTTTTGGACTCGTATTGAGATTGAGTACCATCAAATGCTACCAGCGAATAATGGTAATATTCGATCTTGGCGATCTATTCAAACTCGGATGCAAAATATATTGACTGTTGTTTCAAAATTAAGAGGATGCGTCCGCCAAATTGAAAACATGAACCCGAGCGGAGCATCTGAAAAAGACATTGTGAGTACTTTATAAATGTTTTATTAGTCATTTGCTTAAATCGTGAATACTTTACACATATTTGTTATTTACTTGCTTATATTTATGATTTATAACAGCTAGATAGAGCAAAAGATTTAATGTCACAAGATGCCAAATATCCAAAGGGGTTTAGATTTGATCACGTATGGCCTATCCTTAAGGATCTCGAGAAATTTAGCTCTACTCCTAGTAGAGACGCAAGTTTTGGTAGCCGAAAGCGAAATACCGACTTTCAAGGATCACAATCACTGCATGATATAGCAGATAAGTCAATAGGCTCATCATCTTTTTGTGTTGATTTGAATGACGATTTTGAAAGTGCAGACCAGGTTAACGAAAACAACAATGCAAGCGAGCGTCCTACGGGAAGGAACAAGGAGAAAAAGAAGAAACAACTGAATGAAGAAAATAAGGAATTTTTAAAATCCATCCAGACAGAAAATGAACAAATCAAAAAAATGTTCCAACATCATCAAGATATACTTGAAAAAAATTATGAGGTTCAGTTGTTAAAAGCTCAGACTGAAGCAAAGAAAGTAGAGTTGGCAGAACGACAAGAAGCGAACAGAGAGCGTCGAGAAGAGAAGAGAGAGCGTCGAGAAGAGAACAAAATCTTACGCATAAATTTAAATTCAATCACAGATCCAATGGTGCGTGAGTCTATAAGGAATGAGCAACTACAAATTGTTGCAAAGAGAGCTAATGAGCAAACACATGGAGGAGGGGGTGAATCAAGTAGTCAATTTAATCAATATTTTGATAATTTGGGAGGGAATGGAGATGGTCTTGGAGACTATTAATTCTAAGTATGTTCTGTTTAATTTCGGATGTATTCGGTTTAATATTATGAAAATTATGTTTTATGTACTTCAGTTTTTAATTAATCTATATATAATATTAGGCTTGTTTTAATCGTCTTGATGCGATCTTTCAAATGATATAATTTATTTTTAATTATTCAAATTTTATGTTTATGTATTTAACAAAATATGTAAATCTATAAAAACAAAATTGGGATACAAAAGGAATTAATAAAAGAGGTCAAGGGCAAAGTGGGAATAACATTTTTTGAAGCACATTTGGCGTCAAGCTACAGTGCAGCGCCATATTTGGCGCTGCACTGTAGACAATCGGCAAAATGGCGCCACTTTTGGCGCTTCATTGGAGTGCTTCAGCGCCAAAAGTAGCGCCATTTTGGCGTTTGAGGGAGCGTTTAACGCTCCCTTGGAGATGGCCTAAGGCATTAAATGATGATTTGATAAAACGAGAATCCAGAGAGAAATCAACTTTGATGCTGAATTGTCAAAACTTGTTTAATGAAGAGTGAGTTTGATGAATTCTTCATGCGTTAATTTTATTAGAATAACATCTAAGTGTTAGCATCAATTTGTTCTAAAAATTGTAAAAGAAATACTGTATTTTTATAACTACGAGAAAAAATTCAGTTTAATTTGCTTTGATTTAAGAAAAAAATCGCAACGAACATAACGTAACATGAACATTCAAAATGTGTAACAATTTGAAGAAATTAAGAGATGAACTTACTTAACACTGTGTAATAAACACAACACAATTCAATATAAAATTGTCCATTGCTCTTAATACAAAGCATTACAACAGATATTTATACGATAAGTTAATTCCATCAACTTTCTAAAGTGCACTTCAAATTGGAAACCGCAATGCAAGTTTACGAAACGTTACGGAATATTCGTCAAAAATTTGAAAATAAGACTTTATTATAACCCTATTTGGTAACATATAGTTAGCTTATTAGTTAATTTTGACTTATTTATTCACTATTAGCTGTTTGACTTAGTTAAACAATCAATACAAGTTTTGATTGATTTTTTTTTTTGTAATAACTTATTACTCTAAAACGCTAAAAATAAAAAAGCTGTTTAAAGTAGCTTTAAATAAGTTTTTTGAGAAAGTCATTTTGCATATAATCAATTATCAGCGAACAATCCATTTACCAAACATCTTCATACAAAATGCAATCAACTAGTCAAACTCACTAACTCAATCAGCTAACACAACTATTTACCAAACATCCATTATAACTCTTTTGGTTGAATTGGCCGGCCACATAAAATCTTCTTAATACTATTTATTTCACTTATGTAATTTATGAACTATTACACAAAAATAAAGTTACACAATATATACAGCGTAAGAAAGTAGCGGCGAGTTTATCGATCTTATTATCACCAAACAAAACAAAATTAAACGTAAAACTCTATAGCTATAGCTAGCAATGATGCTACGTATTAAAGGAAGTGAGTTGAGGAGTTGATCCAGGCCAGCAGGTCAGCTTTCACCTTCCATTAATTACACAAGTTAACTCTTGACGTCTTTGTCCTCCGTATGCTTTAATTTGCTGTAACTTGTACAACTATTAATCTTACTATATGGTTGGAAAATAATTAATGTAACAATTAATTACCAATATTATTATTATTACTAGCTATAAATATAAAATAGTCACAACACCTTTTACTATAAAAAAAAAAAAAAAAAAAAAGCACAACATTTGAAAAATAAAATAGTTATTTTTTTTTCTCGCCCATAATAAAGGATTACATTTATTGAATTAATAGAGTTATTAAATGTTATGATTAAAGATTCCGATTCCCGATTAATAGAAAATATGAAACGATGCAATATTAGTTAAATCTCTGGCTTTACAATGAAAGTCTATTTGATATGCTTTTGTTATTTATGGTGGTTCTTGGGATTACAATATTAATTAAATTTTCGATGAAAGCCTAATCAATATCTGAAACAGTACAATTAATGCAAGCATCTACATATAATTTTTCTTTATCTCAAATGCTTCAAAGAAATGGCAGAAGCGAGAAGGAATGAAGAAAGCAAATGTTGCGGGCCATGGGTCAATTATTGGACTTCAGAATTAAAAAATAAAATCATTTAAGCCATAAATAAAAATTTAAATATATATAAATGTATATATCGTATGGGTCTTTAATGTTTTTCTGGATGTCTAGGACTTTTAAAAGAAAAAAAATACATTTGAATTATCTCCACAAAAAGTGGTCTTGGACTTATAAAATGACATTTGAGTTTATGGAATGCCATGTGCATAAAGAATATATTATATAATTATATAAAAAAATATGTTCAATTAAAGTTTAAATTTACTCATACAAAATTTGAAATTTGCTTTCTAAATGTACTTATCTTAGTTATTATTCGTATTGTGAAAATTATAATATAGATGAAATACAATTAAGAATAAATCAATGTAATTATGTAAATTCTCTCTATAAGTTTATTTGAATATGTACATAATTAGAGATTATATTAACCATACAAAATTTTAATTATAATTTTGTATTCTATAAAAATAATAAATAATTGACTAATGTAAGCTCAAAAATATTATTATATTAAACAATTTAAAATATTTTTATTTTTCCTATTTTTTATTTATATTTATAATAACATAATTTTTTCCCCGTGCATCGCGCGGGTGAATTACTAGTTAACAATAATACTGATATGCAAATTAAACCTGGAGTGAAATGTTTTTACCTACTCTTAAATACTTTACTTTTTACGTAAAGAATAATATTTCACTTTACCCAGAAAGAAAATAGCAATTTTCTCGATTTTAATTAATGTTAATAGTATTTAAGGTAGTACCA